CAGTGACTGGGATAATTGGGATGGGAGTGTCAGAGACAGTGCGATTGGCACAGGACAGAGCGGAGTTTAGGGCTGTTGTACACAGGGTCGCTATGAGTCGCAAGCGACTCAACGGCACATAACAACAACGTTCTCTACAAATCATGAAGCCAACCCTTGCCCTGGCTACCTGTTTCTGACTCTGGCCTTTCCACCTGGGTATATCAGCTCTTCTTATGAAGCATTTTGGATCTTACTGACTTGACCTATCACTTATTTCAGCAACTGAACTTGAAGGACACTTGCCTCTCAAGCCTATGCCTTCGTTGCTGCTGCCTTACCTGGGGACACTGCAGCAGTTCCGCCAGTACCTATGCCACCTGGAAGTACATTCACACAACCCGAGTTGCCATTCCATAGTGCATACTCCTTTGACTGATGTGAAATGGAAGTCAGTGGCTAACAGGTTCTCCCTTTCTCCATGGAGAAAAAGACATCCCTAAAATGCATTTCAATGCATTTCTTAGACAATGGAAGAGATTAAACAACAGTTGCTCTTAGCAATATCCAGTTGAACAATGCAAGCTGTGTGGACTCTCCCTTCTCTCCACAGGGGACTACTCCTTAACAAACATACTAGCATAAGCTTCAGGCTGGTGTGGGGGAGGAACAAAACTAAGATACCCATTTTCAGGTTTGTGGCAAGTAGAGCAAACCCAATCCAAGCAATTCTACAAAAAGCTTGTTCCTGGGTTGTCAAAATCATACCAGGGACCAACCCTTTGAGCCTTTATGTTTACAGAACAATTTTTTATTTTCAAGGTCTTTTCACAGAAACAAACTTGACAATTACTTGAAAGGTGATATAACTAAATCCAAGTTCTAAACAAGGAAACAAGCCCGGGGTAGTGTACTGGCTTGTCCTGGGTAATGTAGTTGCTAAGTGTTATGACTCTTATATTAAATCTTGTTCTTCTAACTCAAAACTGGAAAACTGAGCTGTTTTCTGGTGTAGTGTGAGCTGTCCCATGGGCTCTTAGTGATTACTGTGCTGGGGTCCAACCACAGTTGCACGAAGTAAATCCAGTTCCTTTTTATCTGTACTTTGATCCAAATACTGAGCATCAAGGATGGAAAGAATCAGTGTTTAGAAAAGCCTGAGAGGGGTTTTAGTAAGAGGCTGCAGGCTGCTTCAGGATTGAGCTGAAATGTTGGCACAACCTCAGGAAGACCGAAGGTGTGGGCTCAATAGGCTTAACTCAGGTCAGCCACAGACCTGTATTTGAGTCCCCACAGAGCTCGCGCTCCTGTCATTCAGTCATCAATCCTTGCAATAGGGAAACACAAAGATCGTCCCTCTCTCCCTCCCTATTCTAGATGACCACGAGCGGACTTTCCTCCTGGCAGCCATTGGCCCTAAGGGAATTTGAGGCTGGGCAAAGGGCCCAGCCTGTCAGTTCCCATCATAGCCACACAGTCCAGCATGAGTCACCACACACGCACCCAGGTGAGTCATGCGGGCTGACGGACACTCTGAGGACAGGACATGGGGTGGTTGGGCACAAGAGGCTAGAGAGAGACCTAAGGAGGGGGTAAAAAGTCCATCCTCTGCCCAGTCACCCTGCTGTTTCTTGTGTTGACGTAGGACTATTCCAGTAATGAGGTCTCTATTCCACCCTGGCATTGAGCAGCCCTTCACCTTTGCAACAGTTCTCCTCAGAAGACCATGCTACACACAAAAACCAGTCTTTGCACTGCCCCTTCTAATCCTTCCCCTAATAAGACTTTATCCCTGTGCCATTCCCCTCTCAGGTCACCAAATCTGATAAAAGGAAAAGGTTAACAATCTAGCTAAAGCCTTGAGTTACCTTTGCTAAACCACCACTGAATTTGGGCATTAAAAATTAAAAATATGAAAGGAAAATCCTTGTATATTGTTTATGATGAACACATAGATGGTAAAACTAAGCAAAGCAAGAATGACAAAATCTTGGAATGTGATTATTTCTTGAGAGTGTGCATTAGGAAGAAATGCTCAAGGGTATCAAAACTAGGTACTGCTACAGGGATGCTTTCTGTAACATTTTTTAAACTACATATACATGTCTTAATTGCATCCACTTCCTAAACAAGGTGTCTCTGGAAACTCTATGAATTTTTATATGTTGATAGTTGTAGAGGGCTTCAGGTCTTTTGTTCACTGGATCTCTGAGTCGTGCTTGACTCAAAAGCAATCAACAACAAGAAGAGTTAAGAGCCCTAAGTAGGGAGCTCTGATGGCCTAGTGGCAAGAAGCTGCGCTGCAATCCCGAGGGAATGAGGTTCGAGTCCACCAGCTAGCCGCTCTTCGGAAGGACTGACAATTTCTTCCCGTGCAATTAACTGCCTTTGAAAACCTGCCGGAGGGTCAGCTATGGGTCAATTCAAAATCCATGATATACAACAACAAGAAGAATAAGCCAGAGAGGGATAATAACTCTGATTTCAACACTTAATAGGTATGTGATCTAATCTGCACCAGTAATAATAATAGGTGACAAATTTTACTGGGACTGAGGACCTTGTGAGATTATGTTTGTGAAAATGTTTTGCACGCTGCAAAATGTTAGTTTTCTAAGTGAAGATAATGTCTATCTTAAGGGTTTTTTAGGAGTTCAAGGTTTTACTTCACAGTTGGAACCACTATGTTAGTCCCTCAGCAACAGCCCTGAGAAGACAGCTTCCAAAGGAATTGGGATAGCTTGCATCGAGACAGCCAGTCTTCAAAGGTAGTAAAACAAGAAGCAAGTGACGATGGATGTGCAGTAGGCCCAGACTGTTAAATCCACCTGCTCTGGTCCCGAAGGGCACTCACCAGCTGTCAGGACCTGTAGTTTCCACGGGTGAGCAGCCAGGGCCCGCTGATATGCTCGCCAGAGTGCCATGATCTGTCAAGCCAAATGGAGAGGGAATTATCTTTACGGTCCCACAATCATGGAGGCTTTTTTCCTGACAAGCCCCAGAGCCCCAAACTCCCCTGATTGCAATTTGTCCTAAAGGAGGGATGCTTCTTGGAAAACTTTCGGGCACACGGGTCGTTCTAAAACAACTGGGCACAAGACGCCGATGGCCATGGAATCCCAGAAGCAGTCATCTGCCTTCCAAGCCCAAGACGCCGATGGCCATGGAATCCCAGAAGCAGTCATCTGCCTTCCAAGCCCATCCTTGAAGCAGAGACACCTTGGAAAGAAAGGTTTGCTCTGGTTTCCAGCCGGAACCGGGGCGTGGCAAAGTCTAGAAACTGGAAGCAGCTCACATCCTTCTTAAATTGAACTCTACACCAGAAAGTGTCCGTGGTTGCCCACGCATGGCACAGTCACGTCTTATCAGCACACGCAGCGCTCTGAGCAAGCAACCACAGTAGCACCAGCAGCTCTCTGAGCGAAAGACCACAGAAACACCAGCAGCGGCACGCTACTCACCGGAACAACTTCCACGTAGTGTTGCCACTTCCAACCTGCCCGGAACGGCAGCCCCAGGGTCTTCCGCCGCAGGCCCCGCCCTTTCCGGCCGCTGGCTGGGGGGATGGCTTCTCTCCAACGGCTCCGCTCGACCATCCCTTCCTCGCGGACTGTGCCAAGACTTCTGGCAGTCATGTGTCCATTCTTGTTCTCCCGCTTCTCGCCCAGGTCCAAGACCTCTCATCCTCGGTGCACCCCCACTTCTCATCCCAACTCCAACTGACCAAGGTCCCCACGACTTTCTAAAGCCTCAGGACTCAAAAAATCTCGCCAAGACTTGAGTTTGGAAACTGTAAGGGGCAATCGAGAGTGTGGGTATACGGACTTTATTGTTTCTAAGCCCTCCACCAGCTTCAGTAATTCTAAGCTCCTGGATAACAGGTGGTACTGTTACTCATCTTTGATGCCCCAGAGCAACTATCCCATGGTTTTGTCCATTATCACAAGTACTTTATTGAAGAACTTGTGGCAGGAATATCTTCTATAGAAAGCACTGGAATTACAGAACCTTGTAAGAGGGTTTAGGAATTTAACAGATGGTGTAGACCCTCATAAGATTTGAATCTAGGGCTCTGCATCTGTAAAATGTGGGGGGTCCAACTATATTTTTCTTATCACAACAGGTTCTTCTAGCCTAACTGCTATCTTATTTATGCTAAAAGGATACTTAACAAAAGATTCCAAACAAAAATTATTTGGAAAACTAGCACCCTAGAGGATTATATCCTCTTTTAGGACTAACATTCCAAGAGTTTACTAATATGCTACCATGTTATTTCTAGGATTGAAGGAATTCCTAAAATATTCTGGTGATGGGTTGGGGATTGCCAGATTTTCACTCTTTGCACACTCTACATAGCCCTAACTCAGCCAGTTTCTATATGGATAAGACAGGAAGAATCCTGTCACTGATTGTGGAGAAACAGAATAAGCAAGCAAGATAGCTCACTTGTCACAGCATTAACTAAAAGGCTTCTATGTGCAAAATACTGGCGTTTACTGTAAAACTCATTGCTGTCGAGTGGGAGTAACTCATGGCTGACCCTCCGGTGGGTTTTCAGGGCAGGAACTCATACAGGAGACTGTCCATCTTTCTCCCTTCGAGTAGCTGGTAGATTTGAACTGTCCACTTTTGGGCTGGCAACATAACTCCCTATCAGAGCTCAGGTTACACTAGTAAAAGTAACAGGGGACTGAATGTGGTTGGTTGGAAAGGAGGTAAAAAACTGGGTTCAAATCTAAGGACCACTACTTAGTAGTACTATGACCTTAATCTGGCATCTCACCTTCTCAGAAGTTTATAGTTTCTTTAAGTAAAATGAAACAATACTTACTTCATAGTATTAAGTAGCATGAGCATTAAGTGCTTAATAGATATTTATTAGTTTCCTCTCTTGCAGTCTTGGGAGAATTCTTACTGGAGAAATCTAGGAAGGTAGAATTTGAGCTCAGCTCTTGTAAGATGAAACATTTAGGTGGTAATGGTGAAAAGGGACACTCCTCGGAGGGAACAGTGTGAGCAAAGGCACAAAGGTAGAACAAGACAGGAACCAATGGCTAGTATAAGGTTTAGTATACTAAGAGAGAAGGTTAGAAATAAGAGTGGCCTGGGAAGAAAAACTTGATAGTGAAAATGATCAAAGGCCTAAGTAGTCTGCTTTTCTTTTGGGAGCAGAGGCAGGACTGCTAGCACCATCCTACTGTTTCAGGAGTGAGGGTCCCCAGGCACCCAGTGGGATTTCAGGATATAGTGTCAAGTGACTGCTGTGCAGGATGAGCAAAGCTGCTCTGCAAAGAAAGGCACTTTCTCTACCAGTTACCACAGAAAATGAGTACACTTGGACTGGAGCACCACAGGGTGGAGCCACACATGGCTCTGTTGACATGGGCTGTGGTTCTTTCACTGCTATTTGCTGGTTTCATCTTCTGTATGTCAAGGGTCTTGAACAATTTGATTCTTCTCTTACAGGAGATTTATTGATATAAAATCAGTTCCTCCTCCCTGGAGAAGCAGAAAGCTGGGCCCAAGATATGCACTATCAATCTAGAAGTGCCAAAGGTTCTGTTTCTGATATGCACTGAAGTAATTTCCAGTCCTTCCAATAGGAGCTGGCTTCCTAGTTTTCTTTGCTTCATGTGGGCATCTAACTACTTCCCCAAATTCCACTCTATACTCATGCAACTAAGACTGGTTGGCCATGTCTCATTGCTATACTGTGTGTTCTTTCTTAGAAAACAGTACCATGAGCTTGTACCATCTCACAAGAGAACAGTAACAAGATGAACTATCATACATATATTACAGCACTTAGGTTCTGAACACTCCTATATAAACAGAGATGAAATAAAGTAGCTAAACATGTTTAATAAGTCAACAATGTGACAGATATCATGAAGAATCAAAAATCATGACTTGTAAAATTTGAAGTAACTGAAGATATTTAATCTAGAGAAGAAAATACTTGGGAAACACATGATAGCTATTGTTAAATACTTAAAAGGGCAATCACAGGGAAAATGACTAGATTTCCTAACACCAATGGGTAAAATTTAGAGGTATACGCTTTGACAATATAAAGGAAGATCTTTTAAAACACGACTGTCTAGGAGTGTTCAAGTAGGGTCAGATGACCAGTGGCCAGGAATATTTCATAAGCAGGAGCAAGTAAGATCTGAGTCACTGTTCTATTGGTAGGGTGTTGTGGTGTTCCTCAATGAAAGAAATAAGCAGCTTCTGTCCAATAAATTACTATCACCCCCTCAAAGGCCTGTGTGTTGGTTACTCTAAAGGAGTTTGGGAAGGCAGTAACACAGGATTCTGGTGCCTTTATGCGAATACTCTTTTCAGTTCTCCAAACACCCACTCACATGTGATCTCAAAAACACCCAGTACCTTTACTTGGCTTCACCTACTTCACAATATGCTCAATATGAGCAATTTGACTCCCAAGCCTAGGTCAAGCCTGAGTGTTTCTTGTGAACCAGTTTTATGGCTGAGGAGCCTTGAGAGTTCATGGAGGGAGAACCCCCTTGCCCACAGGAGGCTGTGACTATAGAAGTCTGTGGAAGGAGAGGGATCTAAGGAGTCCTGGGGAAACAGGCCTAAAGGTCCAGGCCTGGGCAGCATGACTGTCCAGGAAGGTCCCAGTTCCTATGACTCTGTGCCTGGGGGGATATGTGTTCTTGGTAGACTTCATTCCAGGGTCTTGTACAGACCAAGACTAAAGACTGGGCAGAAGGCAATGGCTGCTTGGAGGGAAGTTAAACCCTTCAGTGGGGTAGAATAGTTAAAACATAGCATTGAACTGGGCTTGGCTTTCCAGCTGCATACGATGACCCAGTGGGGAAGTGAGTCCACGGACAAAATGGATTCGAACCAGCCCGGACTGTCCCCCAGATATGAGCCATCCATAGGAGTCCAGGTTTGGGCTGAAACGTACCTGTAAATAGAAGATGAAAGACACCCACGGTTGGTACTTTGGGTGAGTCTTATGTAAATGAACAACAGCAACAAAATGAGCCGTAATCTGAAAGGAGGATAAGGGTCATGGTGGGGTGAGAAGTCAGGCATGAGAAGACAATGAATGTGTATGAGGTTGCCCAAGCTGCATTCTCTCCTTTGCTGCCATTGGCTCATAGGCCTAGAGTTGGGGGGAAAAAAATGAGAGAGGAGGTAGAGAAGATGAGAAAGATTCTTACTTTATGGATAGCCTCCAGCTGCAGCCTGTCCAGACAGAGCTGAGAACGCCCCTCTCTCTCCTGCATGCGCAGCATTGGTTCTCTACGGAGCAGATTGTGAAAGGAACTCTGGAGGAAGGAGGAAGAAAGTGAGCAGCTTCTTAAGTCTTCTCTTTACCTTTATGCTGGAACTCCTTAAGGTTCCCTCTGCACAAGGACTGAAAGCTTCTAACTTTTCCAATGATGGACGTGGAATCATTTCCTTTAACTTACCAAATCTGTGTCTTGAAACAGCAAATAGTGATGGCTGACGGTTTCAGCATAAGTTCGAGCTGTAGGAGGATTAGGGGCACCAGAAGAGGCAGAATAATGGTCTTGAACTTGAGGGCTGTCCTGGTACGGGATCAGATCTGCTTTATATATAGGCTACAAAGGAGACCAGAAGATTAGGCTCAATTATATAGAAGACAGAGTAAAGGTAAGGGAGAGGAAACTGGTTTTGGGCAGAAGAGACTTAAAGATGGAAAGTGGTAGAATGTTTAAACATGTTTAGACTAAGGTTGGAAATGCTATCTGTAACTCTATGCCAAAATTTTCAGGTATAGTATCAAGGCTGGGCACTATCAGGAGTTGGGAAGGCATGTGGATTAGGATCCAACAAGTGGTGGTGCTATAAAATATCTTCTACTTACAAATCTTCGCTCTACAGGTCGTTTAACATTTATTGGGTTCAGGGCCAAATCAGGCAATACAGCTGCAATGAGCTCCCCAGATATATCTCCTGCAGCTACCGTCCCAAGCCAGTCTGATCCGGAAAGACTCTAGAAGGAGGAGACAGAGTTCATTCACTCATATTCATTAGTAGGTCTTTGAACCAGAAACAGCAGAGACAAACAAAAGTGAGTTTCTCAGAACCTGATGTTCCTGATGATAAAGTTACCATAGACCTATCTTTTTCTCTTTCTACCAAAATTTATCGGCTCTCCTTGATCATCACCAGGTGATTAGTTTCCTGTGTGATAAAGACTGTGGAAGAGAGAGGGCTCACCCAGACAGTGCCTTTTCGAGGAGCAGTAAAGTAGGCTTTGAAACCAAGGTAACCAGCATCAAGATAATGAATTCCACAGAGTCCATAACTGTAAAAGAAAGGAAACAAAATTTTCCTTTTCTAAAGTGACCTTCATTTCTTCTTCTCAATGCTTCTTGAATTCAAATAATTTCAATGAAACTCTCATTCCTCTTCCCCCACAATAAACCCTTTACACCCCAACCCCGAGGGCCTCCCCCTAGGACTCCGTCTCTCGCCATCCTGCCGTACGAGGCATAGCAGTTGTCCTGAGCCACAGTGACACCATTGTAAGGGAGCAGCCAGGCCAACTCTGTACTCAGGAAGCGCTTGATAGAGTTTATTGGTTCATAAGGTCGTCGAAGGTCCCAGAATTTGATTTTCCGGTCATTCCCAGCAGAGACAAGAAAATGACTGTGAAAGATGGGAGAAGATCAAATATGAAAAAATTTCAGAGTCAGCCTTCCCCAGTTTTCTTCACTTCCCAGGTCCACAACTTTCCTATACCTGTTAGCTTTGCACCACTGAAGGTTACGCACAGCCTGGTCATGGGCAAGGAAACTCTGGAAAGGATAGAGCTTCAAGGAGCCATCAGAGAGTCTTATTTGCTGCAGGGGTGAATTAGTAGGAAGGTTCCAGAAAACCACCATACCTGGGGTAAGAGACAGAAGGCATAGGAAATGAAAGGGAGGCTTTCTTTTGCTCTAGCTTCTCTCTCTGGGTTCTTGGAACCTTAGTCTTTTATCCTAAGAGCTAAACTATTAGAAAGGATAAAGATGATAATTACTTAACTAGCATTCCCTCCAAACTATAAGTAGTGAATATTATAGTTCCAGTTTTCATCAATAAAAACTAATGGGTGGGGGGGAAAAAAACCAACAACTACAAAAAACACCCAACTAATGACTGAGTCCAGAACCTGTATCCTACGACAGGTTTAATAAACCCTATTATATGAAAGTACTTTAAAAAAAAAAACCTATAAACTCTCCAGGAGAAGGTTTGACAAACTACAGCCCTATGCCAATACGGCTCACTCTATCTTATATGAAAGTATTTTAAAAAAAAAAACCTATAAACTCTCCAGGAGAAGGTTTGACAAACTACAGCCCTATGCCAATACGGCTCACTCTATCTTTTGGTAGAGTTTTATTGGAGCACAGCCATTCATTTACCTAATGTTTATGGTCTGCATTCTCCCTACAAGGACACAGTTCAGTAATCCCAGCAGAGGCCAGAGAAGCTCACAAAGTCTAAAATATTTACGCATTCATTCACTGCCATCAAGCCAGAACTGACTCATAGCGGACCCTTCAGGAGGTTTTCAGAGGCTGTTAACTGGCATAGGAGGAGACTGCCCATCTTTTCCCCTGTGGAGCTGCTGGTGGATTCAAATGGGTTGCCTTTAGGTTAGCAGCTCAACTCTATGCAGACTGTGCTACCAGAGATCCCTAAAAAAATTTACTGTCTGGTCCTTCACACAAAGCTTGTCAACCGCTGCCCTAAGACAAAGAGAAGAGACAAGGAGCCAAAAGCCAAACGGTAGAAAGCTAGGAAACAAACAGATAACGAGAAACTAACTTGGCTGATCAAAAAGCTAAACATCACACTGACTCGAGGGAAGGCAATTCTGTATAATTCTGATAAAGATTGAAAAAAAAAATGGAAAAAATTTTAGCTATCCATATAACATCTTGTTATGTGCCATCGAGTCGCCTGCGACTCATAGCGACCCTATGTACAACAGCCCTAAACTCTACACATGTAACATAGAAAGGACTAAAACTCCTTTTATGCATAAATTCAGGGAATGTAGCACCTATGAACCTTCCTTAAAAAACTTAAGGACAAAGGGTAGTTTTGTTGTTCTGAGCTGAAATCCAGGTAATTGCAACTCCACGTGTGCTGAGCAAAACTGCTCCATTGGCTTTCTTCCTACTATTTAACCTTTCATATTGCCAGGCCTGTCTTCCAAGGTATATGTGAGTGGGCTTGAACTACCAACCTCTCAGTTTGAAGTTAAGCGCTTAACTATATGTGTTACTCAGGGAGCCTCTGAATCACAACAAGCAATAGAAATAATTAAGCAGTGGAGGAGGAAGCTGAGATAAAAGGGCGGTGGAGACATTCAATCACTTAAGTATAGAAATAAAATGAAGTCACTTTGAGGACTGAGATAGCAGGACAGCATGAACTATCTTGACTATGTAAGAATAATCTCACCAAAAGAAACCCAATTCCAAGATAGAGCGATGATAGGAAGAAGTGCAACAGTGCTAACATCCTTATCTTCCCAGCAGGGAGTCTAAAGACTACGTCTAAAAAAGAAATGATCATTTAACAGCAACATACTGACTCCAACTATTTAATGTCATTTATAATACTTCTGTTTACATTTCAAAGATATCTTAGGGGATTAGTATCTTGAGATGAAAGTGTATTTACAAGTTTAGCTATATTCAGTTTTGCTTCAGTGCTTTCTTCTATAAATGAAAATATCACAAATTTAATATTTTAAAATTTAAAATAGCTACTATAATATGGTCACATTTTTATGTATTTATTTTCCATCTATTTATATTTATACATAGTAAACTGCATTGAATTATATTTACCTACATTTTTATTTTTTTAAAGTATAAAAATTCTATTGACTTTTTTTTAATATATTGTTTGAATATTTGTCAGTATACCCAGTACTGAACAAAAAATTAAAAACAAAACAAAACAAAAAACAAAAACAAAAAACCAACCACCAGAAACCAAATCTATGTAAAAAGAGTTTAGAGCAACAGCTCCTTGGGTTTTGGTTTTTACCATTATAGTATCCAGCAGCCAGGTGGTGGTGGGGCCGGGTGGGCATCCAGGCCAGGCTAAGGCACTGGCCACACTCAGAGGGGTCTGAGGCTTGCATAGACCCCACCTGAAGGGTTGCCACACATTCTACCTGCAGGGATAGAAGGTAGAGGACTAGGGTTAAGGATGCCTTCTATTTAGTCTAAAAGAACAGGGGAAACATTCCAGAGGTAAGGGATTCACTACGGAATAAGCAAGAAGGCTCTAGAAAATGAAGTTCAGCTAAGGTAGAAGTTCCTCACTTACCTTATAGATGGCTGACTTCATCGCATCTGTAGAGAAAGAAGAGCAAGAACTGATGCTGTGGATCTGTGAATCCTAAAGAGGTCTCTATCAGGCTTTGCTATCAGGGCAGCCTCCTCTCCTCTGAACCTTTAGATAATGACAATCTCTTCTATTTGGTGAGAAAGTGCTTTCCTTTTCTACCTATGAATTTACAAAGCCTTCTCTCCCTGGTCCCACTCTCTTCCCTTTCACTACACCAGATAGCAGTATTTCTCCTATCAGAATGGCTACACCTCTACTCTTCTCATCCTCTTTAATCTTTTCCAGGATTTTGTTCATGTGAATATTTCACCTTTCTCTTCCATTTTCCACCTCTCTCTCTATTGGATTATTCCCATATTCACAGGTAACAGAAAAGCCCTATCCTTTATTCCATATTCACTTCCAGCCACCAAACTCTACTGTCATTCCTCTTGACAGCCAAACTTGTTAAAAACATTATCTAGGGTTACTGTCTTTACTTTCTCATGACTTATTCCCTCTTCAACATACTCTTCCACCAATCACTAGAGATGGAATGAATGTCCCAGGGCTCACCTAGTGGTGTTTCTGTCTTTAAATCTGCAGTATATAAATTTGACAAATAGGAGTTGCCTTTTCTTGGAACACTTCCCTCTTCTTCCTCCTCACATTTAGTTCTACATCCTTTCCCTGTTTCCCAATAAACAGACTATGCACATACATGTGTATACATGTGGTAGTGAGGCCAGGTAAGACAAGGAACAGGACTAGCTGCCCTTGACACTGCTAGTAACGTGTGGCAGCAAGAGAGAAGGCCCTGAAAGCACAGAGGGGGAAATGGAAAGGAAAAGGAAGCTACGAAGAGACTGTGATGAAAAGGGCTGTCAAACAGAGACTAAACAACAAAGGGTCAAGTCAGAAGTGGAGGTGTAACTGAGCAAAGTTCTACAGTACAGAGATCAAGCCTAGAGTTTCAGGGTAGGTGAATAATATAGCAGCCCATTCTCCTTTCTGGGCTACTCACCTGGTGGCTGTTGAGCCAGCAGGGCCTCAGGATGAGGCAGACTGAACAGCAGCACCTTTCCATCTGAGCAGGCAAGAGCCAAGAGACCCAGTCGGGGCAGGAGAGGGGCCTAGAGGGCAAGACCAAATCTGTGCTAAGCTTGTTGTCATCAGGCACCTCTCAGAAAGTCTCCTAGGTCCCTGGTTCTGGAATTAGGATATGAAGTTACTGGGGAAATGCTACCCACTACTCTCCAACCTCCCTTTCTCCAACTTTGAGAACTAGAGTCTCTCTGTTCTGATTCAGAATCTTAGCGCCATTCAAAAAGCCAATGGAAAGTACCTTCCGAGGAGTGCTTGGAAGTTCCCATGCTCCACTGGGACAGAACTTGAGATCCCAGATGCAGCCGTTGTCACAAGCAATCCCATAGACAAAGTGGGCCCTGCTGTCAGGACTGGGAAGGGGAAGAATGTGGAGAGAACAAGTAGAAAGGAGGAGCTCAGGGCTGCAAGAACTTGCGCCCCACTTGTCTCGACCCAGTATAAGCCCTGCCCTACACTGCCCACCCCCAGCCTTCTCTCCACCTCAGCCACCCTCCCATGGCAGTGTCCCAGCCCCACCTCACCAGTTTTCTTGCTGCAAGGTCCCAAGGCCCCAGAGCTGGAGCAGCCCAGGGCCCGAATAAAGCTGGCTCAGTGAATGTGTCTCATTCATGTCCGGACTGGAGAAGAGTGCCACGTACTGTGAGGTTGTTGCCCCCTCTGGCACTGGGCACCACTCCATAGCCCAGAGTGGTCCCCCCGTGAAGAAGGACATGTCGCGGCGCTCTGGGTGTGCTGTGATCGAGCTAAATCTAGAGTATTGCAAAGATGGAATGGAAAAGGAATAAAAAATAATGAGGACGGTAGAATGAAAGCTCCACCTGGCACTGGTGTGAACTGGGTTAAAGCCAGGTTCATCCACAACTGGGTTGTGCCAGAACATCACAGAGAGTTTCTAGGTAAGAAGATCCCTCAGTCTACACTTAAGAATATCCTTCACAAAGCCTGTCCAGCTCTGGCTCATCTTTAAAAATGAAGAGTTGTTCATTCTGGTTTACTATAGTGTTCTCTCTAGGCTCAGTCTGTCCAGGTCTACTTGCATGGAAACGACTTTGTAAACTGCTCATCTGCCATCTTCCAAGCTTCCCTCTATCTAGCTGCGGTGATGAGCCAGAAGCAGAGCTGAGCAGCTCTTGCCAGGACTCTTAGGGAGCTCTGCTCTGGTGGCCAAGTGGTAAAGAGGTGCATGACCAATCCAAAGTGACCGACCCGGTTCAAATCCACCAGTTGTCCATGGAAATCTCATCCTGTGTGATTCACAGTCTCTGAAAATCTGCTGGAGGGATAGCTGAGTCAGCTCTGACTTGACGGCACACCAGCACAGCAGCTGCCAGGACTCTTAGCCCCGAAATCACTGGTCCAGCATTGGAAGGATAGAATGAACTTGTCATTCCTTTCTCCTTCCTCATTTCTGTTTTCTAAGTCAGAAAAAGGATAGGCAGGCAATAAGCTTTACCTATTTATACGGAAGAGTGTGCCATCTTCAGGAAGCCCTTCACGTTGTACAGAAAAAAGCGGAGACTTCTCCTCCTGGGGGAGGTAAGGAGCTGCCTCACTGAGGGAAGGAAAAATTAACAGCCTGAAGGTGAAAGAATTTCAATTTCAAGAGCTTCCTGTCACTCTCCTTCTCCATTGATCCCATTCAAGACCACAGGAGTCTCTTCAACTTACATTTCAGATAACAAGTGCCACTTCCAGGCCAAAGGAATCCATTCCGCAAACTCCCAGTAGGAATGCTTCTGTTCTCGACTAAAGGGACAGAAGCAGCATTAGAGGAGAAGAGAGGAAACCTAGCAGTAATGTCCAAGAAAAACTTCTATGATGGATTGATTAGACACTGCAATTAATTAACAAGTTGCCTCAAATGACAGCAAAAATATGTTTCTAAGCACAGTCTCAATTTAAAAGCATGTGGCAATGTGTTAAACAGTAACAATTAATGTTATAAAATAAACAGTCTATGAAGGTATGAAAAGCCAACATGATTTCTAAATCTTCACTCAAAAAAGTTTCTCCAGATGCTCTGCTGGAGAAGGAGGAGCAATGTCCTCCTGTACCAGTCAGATCCGATTCGACGGCACACACACACAAAATAAAAAAAAAAAAAACCAGCACAGTTTCTGTGAGGATGAAAATTACCTATATCGGTGCTAGCCAATATGGCAGCCACTAGCTGCAGGTAAGCTATTAGATATTTGACATTTGGCTAGTCCAACAGAGGCATTTCTGGCTTGTCAGTGCCCCCTTATCCCCACAGCCCCACTTCTAGATTTTTTAGACTCCAACACCACCCCTGCACTCCTTTGCTCCCATTCCCCAAGTCTCACAGGTCCTTGGTGAGATGAAAGCACTTCCACACGGGAGCCATGATGTGATTTGGTAAGCCATTGGGAGCCATTCCCCGGCAGTGTGGCTTCTGCTTCTACAGGATGAAATTGAAGATCATTATGCAGGTTGATGAGGAAGCCCCCAGGAGATAACTTTCTCGGCTTTTGTCTGCCTTTTCCCTGACATTACTGCCTAACCACTCCCCTATCAGCACTTTAAAAAAGACAGTCACTACAATGAGTTCACCACCTTCTGCTCCCCATTCTTCTATCTAAATTGCAAAATCTGTTCTCATCTTCCTCAGTATTGCTGATGCATCTGATCTGGAGTACACTCATCTGTCTCTGGAAAGTCCCGCCGTTGTACCCAATATCCCTTCTTGGCTTCCTTTGCAGGCTTTCCCTTCTCTGATCAGTTTGCTCTATGCTGTATCCTCCCAGTGTTTCTCGTTTTCTTCCCCTCTTTACAACTTCATGCATCTCCATCATGTTGACTATCATCTTTAATCCTGGCTATCAAATTCACAACTCAGTCAACTCTTCTCATTTGCAAGTTTTCTACAAGTTTTAGACTTCGAACAGTACTGTGTTTTGCCACATCAGAGACTGTAGTGTAAGATAAAATCAGAAATAAATTTTTTTTCTTTATTTAAAGATGCTCACCATGGATTTACTGTATTAACTTTTATTTTCTAAAATACTGCACTGAAATATAATTTATCTTGATTACTAAGTTTTTGCATTCCAGGCAAGAAAAGTAGTTCCATACACACACACACACACACACACGTTGTTGTTATGTGCCGTCGAGTCATTTGCGACTCATAGCGACCCTATGTACAACAGCCCTAAACCGTGCTCTATCCTGTGCCAATCTCATTGCCTCTGACACACCCATCCCGATTACCCCAGTCACTGAATCAATCCACCTCATAGAGGGTCTTCCCCTCCTGTGCTGTCCCTCTACTCTACCCAGCATGATGTCCCTCTCTAAAGACCTGGCTTGCCTTACAACATGTCCAAAGTATGTCAGACAAAGCCCCAGAATCCTTGCCTCCAAGGAGCCACCTGGTTTAACCCTCTCTAGGATGAATCTGTTTGTTTTCCTAGCAGTCCATGGTATTCTCAATACTCTTCTCCAGCACCACAGCTCAAAGGCATCAATTCTCCTTCTATCCTCCCTAGTCATTGTTCAACTCTCTGATGCATAACAAGTGATTGCGAAGACCATGGCCTGTATCAGACGCACCTTAGTCTCCAGAGAGACACCATTGCTCTTCAGCACTTTGGAGAGGTCCCTAACAGCAGACTTTCCCATGGCAATGCGCCTTTTAATTTCCTGGCTACTGGTGCCAAGAGTGTTGACCGTATATACATATATCTATATCTCTATCTATATATATATCTCTCTCTCTATCTATATATATCTCTGTATATCTATATATATCTATCTTGGCTTTATTAGTCTGGTCTTCTAACCGCAGCTTGGCCTATTTTCCTAACTGATTCTATCTTCCTTATTAAAAATTCTGTTGGTTCCTTGTAGCCTTAGAAAATGAGAGACACCTAGCACAACATACAACCCTTTCATTAGTCTTAGTTCTTTCTTTCTCCCAATCTAATCTCTCTCACCACTTTACCCTAGGCTCTAAACTCTAGCCAAAACCAGGATCCTTTTGGGGAAATTTCTACTCACCAGTTAAGATCCTGTTCAATTATCACTCCTCCATGAACTACCTATCCTTTATATGCCTAAAATAGGCTGCTTACACACTAAACCTAGTGTTTGTGTTTCTTAGGATAGAACAGATGCTTAATACATGAATGTTTACTTGTCACCCTCCCCAGTCTCCCTAATCCTCAACTGTTTTAAGAGCTGTCCCTACTCTATTTTCTCTATTTGACCATCACAGGGTCTAGGCCAAAGCCATCATCTGGGGCACCCTGCTGAAGCTTGAAAATCCTACTATCTTCCCATCCACTTTCTTATCCTTTCTGATTACCCCTGAAGCAGATCCTCGGGGAGTGCTTCGGGGTGCTGCAGGCACAGTGGGCATGGTGGACGCTGCAGGCGTGGCAGGTACTGTGGGCACGGCAGACACTGTGGGCACAGCAGACACAGTCGGCACAGCAGACACTGTGGGCACGGCAGGCACTGTGGGTACTGGAGACTCTGAGTCAGGCGAGTTCTCACTTGGGATCTCATTTTCTTCCTCATCTTCAGGCTCAACCTTGAAGACAAAGTCTTCATCTCTTGTAGTATCATCATCTCCCTCACCCTCAGGGTTGTCCTCTGAGGGGCTTTTCTTCAGTACGGGGGGGTTGCTCAAATTGGGGTTGTCAGGGCAGGACACTGGAGCAGGCATTGCTGTGGAGAGCTCTTCAGCCAGTTCCTGAAGATACAGTAGCGCCCTGTGGGAGAGAGAAGGGTCAGAGCCATAATCACCAAGACCTAACTAAGAGCCCAGTTTTCCAGACACCTGGGTGATTCTTATCCCACTGGATCCTCCCAGTAACCCCGTGAAGCAGGCATTCATTTCCCCTTCCCCTCTGGTAGAAGAAACAGAAATTTAGGAAAATTAAACAACTTGGCTGAGATGATTTAGGTAACAAATGTGAACTCTGAAACTCAAGTCTTAATAAGTCCTATGTACTTTCACTCTAATCAAAGAGCACAGAGAGTAAAGGGAAAGACTGAACAGAATGGTATGTATGTGCATATTTATGCACACCAGGGAGCTCTGGTGGGCCAGGGGTAAGGAGCTGTGCTGCCAACCCAAAGGCATGCACTTAGAATCCACCAGCTGCTCTCTGGGACAAAGATGGGCAAACTCTTCCCATGTGATTTACTCTAAGGGTCAGCAATGAGTCGATCCTGACTCGACGGTGCATAACAATAACAACATATATACACATGTCTACATATACACACATTAATACATACGGGGCAGTCGAGAATGAAGTGCTTACGGGAGTTCATTGAGGGGAAAATGACTGAGTACAAGGTACAGAAACAAAACCTCCCAGATAGATTAAAATTAGCACTAGATAAAAGTCACTGTGGCATGAGCTAAAAGATTGCTTAAGTCCCTCAAACCCAGATACCACCCTCAATTACCTGATCTCCCAACATCTCTCCCACCCTGATCCCTTAACCCCCAACCTCCCTCCACCAAACGGTGCCCAACAATCCTTACACTTGGGCAGCCCTTCGTCGGGGTCGTTCCCCAGGAGGGGTCTCAAAGTCCTCAGAAGGCCTCTTTGGAGGTGGAGATGCTGGTTGATCTAGGCCTTTTGACAACTTCAGCAGCAGCAGCTCTGCCTTGGACTTTCGTCCTCGTTTCTTGGGCATGGGGGTGGACAGAGGGTTGGACTGATCTAAGAGACCAGGAACTAAAGGGGCTGATGGAGGAATAGGCTGTTGGGGCCTTTTGGGGCCTTTTCGTGTCCTACCACCTCTCTTCCGGCCAGGCTTTGTGGCCCTAGGCATTGAGACCATTGACATCTCTGAAGAAAGATCTGTAGAGAAGAACATGGGTCTGTGAGATAGGCCAGAGCGCAGGCCAACCTCTAGTGACATCTCTTTGGGGTAGGTTCTAACACACATAGGTCTGTAAGATCCTGTGAACTCAACTTGTTTTCTTTCCTCTTAAGCTAGAAAGGCAGACAGAGATGAAAGGGCAGGTACGTACCTTGCTGTTCTAGTCTGGAGAGGCTTTCTGGCTCTAGAGGGAGTCGCCTCTTATCAGAAGAATCCTCATATCCAGCCAAAGAGGAAGGTAAAGACATCTCTATGGAAGCCTCTGTACTGGTCATTCCTGAAGAGGCCTTGACATCATGCTGGTTTAGCACTTCTTGTCCAGGAGGGTCCACCACAGTCATGTTCCCCACGGGGCCGGCCTCCCCCAGGGCAACACAGCCGACCCCGTAGGTATCCATCAGCAACCCCCAAAATGGCTGCCCCTGCACAGAGACATACAAAGGCCTGAATATTCGACTCCTCTCCCTGAAACCCAGCGAAATCAATCAAACTCTAGCCTCCTCGCACCCAAAGAAAATGTCCATTATATGACTCTAGAGAAGTGTCACATTTCCTAACGTGTTGTAAGAGTGTAGAGACAGGAAAACTTGTGAGAACCAGAACACGAGACTGCCTTGTGTTTCCAAGTCTCACAAACCTTTGACAAGATAGAGTCTCATCACTTTTTCAACCACTTATTTTAATGGAAAAATATTTGAGCTCTCTGACAAGTTTCTACTGTACATGTGTCTGGCTTTGACAGTTAAAAGGAATGAACCATTACACACTGAATAATGGACTAAACTGTCACACATCTTCATTTTCTTAAATTCATCTGTTCAACCTCAGGCCAAGGTAACCTGACAAAGATGCACAAAAACACTGACCACCAAACCAAAAACTTTAAGATTCAGAAAAGAATACCCCAGAGGTCTAGATATGCCTGAAGGATAAAGAATTCATCAGCCTCAGTGGAAAAGTGTGCTAATGCCGTAAAAAATATCATACAAATGAAAATTATCAGCTGTTTCCCTTGAAGAAGCTACAGATTATAAACTAGTGTAACAATACCCAACTTTTTAACTCACTGGCCAAGAATACATTAAAACATCATGTGCTAAGAATGCAACCTAACAGTGCCAAGATAAGAAAGGGCAGCAGGAATCCACCAACCACACTGCTCTTCGATTAACAGTAAGCCTGAACGAACTACCTATTGCCTTTGAGTCTATTCTAACTCACGGTGACCCTACAGGACAGACTAGAACTGTCCTATTAGAATTTCCAAAGCTGTAACATTTATAGAAGCAAACTGTCACATCTTTCTACCGCAGAGCAGCCTGTTGGTTCAAAATAGGTCACTATGCAATAGTGGAGAAACTGTGCCAATAAAGAATAACCAAAATCAAGAAATATAACATTAAGACAAAATTTCAAAAGAAAGGAAACACTAAGCATCTATCTTTGCTTATGTTTCTTACAAAGGAAATGTAAAAAAGTTAGACCAGTTACAGAGTTCTCAGAAGCAGCTGGTGGTAGAAGATGAAGAAGCAGGACTAAGAGAAAGGATGTGACCATAGAATTCTTCATTTAGCTAGGATGTCATTTATATAAAGGCAACAGAATACTGCAAATATACAATACACTAGTAATTATAGCACATATACACTCGGGGAAAAAACCAAATACCTTTGAAGATCTGATTTAGAAAACAGAAACAAACAAAATCTAATCAAGACCACAACAAAAACAAAACTCACACTCTGAACCAATTTAGAATTGACCCTCCAAGGAGTATGATGCTGTAAACAGTATGGGAGGAGGTTTATTATCGTCTTCCTTTCCTGTGGCTGGTGGATTCAAAATACCAGAGAGCCTTTGGGTTCAGAACAAAGAATTTTCTAATGGAGAAACTGTGATATGAAATGATAGGAAAGAAGTATTTAACCCAGTGAAACACCAAACTGAGTTTAAATATCTATCCTAACTACAGCTATAAAATAGACTAGCATAAGATTTTCAAATAACAATTTATTTTTTAAAAAGAAGTTTAAAGAACCCATCTCATAATACCAACAATCAGAGACTAATTGACTATGCAAAGGCATTTGACTGTGTGGATCCTAACAAAGTATGGTTAACATTAATAAAAATGGAAATCCCAAAAAAAATTAAAAAAAAAAAAATGGAAATCCCAGAATACTTAATTGTGCTCATGTGAAACCTACTCTTATAAAAGAGCAAGGTAATACTAAATGGTTTTTAAAAATTAAAAAAGGTAGGGAGCTCTGGTGGCCTAGTGGCAAGACGCTGCACTGCAATCCCAGAGGTACACGGTTCAAATCCACCAGATGCTGTGCTGGAGACGGAGGGAGCAATCTCCTCCTGTACCAGTCAGATCTGATTTGACGGTACACGTAAAAATAATATAATAAAAAAAAATTAAAAAGGGTATAATGGTACAACCACTCTGGAAGGCAGTTTGGCGATTCTTCAAAAAGCTAAACATAGAAATTCCATATGACCCAGCTATTCCACTACTTAGGAGCATATTCATTCTTATGTTAAGGGATAGAATTGCTACCTGGTCAGTCTGTCTCTGTCACTCTCCCTCTCTTTCCCACTCCCATAGGAGAGGACTAAAAGCAAGGTTTCTCAGTGATGCATCAAGGCGAAGAAGACGCATCAGGATGAAGTCTTCTCCTTCGGTTTCTCAGTGATGCATCAAGGCGAAGAAGACGCATCAGGATGAAGTCTTCTCCTTCGGAAAGCAAAGGATCCATCTCCTCCTTCTAATCCCAACCAATCCTACAGGTTTCTACATGGGGCTAGGCTATAACCAGTCTCAAGACAGTGGGAGCCAAGGAAAAAGAGTGCCCACTTGAGGCTGCCCTCTTTGTCTGCTGGCTGCCTACCAAAAGGTTTGGGTCTACTCCTGAATTTCCAAGGATGCTCCCCCTCCTCTTTTTTTCCTTTTCATCTTTATCTATTATCAACCATGCCTCCTTTGCATTACCTTAATAAACCTTTTTCATTTTTTCTAAATTAAAAAAAAAATCAAGAAAGGTATGCATCAGGGTTATACCCTTTCTCCATTCCTATTCAATCTGTAAGCTGAACAAACTATGTAAACTGGATTCTATGAAGAAGAATATGGTATCAAGATTAGAGTAAGACTCATAAGCAAACTGTGTCATGCAGATTACAAAACCTTGCTTGCTGTAAGTGAGGAGGACTTAAAGCATCTGCTGCAGAAGATCAAAGACTTCAGCCTTCAGTACAGATTTTATCTCAGTATCAAGAAAAAAATTCTCCCCACTAGGCTGACAGGTACATCATGCTAGATGGAGAAAAGTTTGAAATTGTCAATGATTTCATCTTGCTTGGCTCCATAATCACCACCTTTTGTATGAACAATCAGGAAATCAGGACACAAATTGCATTGAGAAAGTTTCAATAAGGGACCTCTCTAAATTACTGAGAAGCAAAAATATCAATTTGAAGAATACCATGGTCTTTTCAATCATCTGCTATGTACCTGAAAGCCAGAACCATGAATAACAAGGATGACAGAAGAAGAAGAATTGATACCTTTTGAGTTGAGGTGTTGGATAAGAGTACTGAACATGCCATGGACAGCCAAAAGAACAAACAGATTTATCAAGGACAAAGCGCAGCCAGAATGCACCTTGGAAGCAAAGCTTCATCTCACATACTTTGGGCACACTGTTGTTAGAGGTCCCTAACTGGAGATTTTCCCAGTGCAACAGATTTCCTTATTTCTTGACTACTGGTACCAAGGGTGTTAACTGTGGATCCAAGTAAGATGAAGCTATTGATAGTTTCAATTTCCTTTCCATCCATCATCATGCTGCCCATTGGTCCAGCAGTAAGAATCTTTGTTTTCTTGATATTAAGATGTAACCCAGGGAGCTCTGGTGGCCTAGAGACAAGAAGCTGCACTGCAATCCAGAGGTATGCGGTTCAAATACACCAAATGCTCTGCTGGAGAAGGAGGGGAAATCTCTTCCTGTACAAGTCAGATCCAATTTGACGGTACACACACACACACACACACAAAATAATTAAAAAAAAAAAAACCAAAAAACACAAAAACGATGTAACTCATACTGAAGGCTGCATTCCTTGATTTTCTGCAACAAGTGTTTCAAGTTCTCCTCATTTTCAGCAAGCAAGGCAGTGTCATCTGTACAACACAGGGTTACTGATCAGTCTCCCTCCATCCCACCAGCCACATTCCTCTTCATTGAGTCTAGCCTCTCAGGTAATTTTCTCAACACACAGACTGAATAGGTACGGAAAGAGAATACAACCCTGATGCACTCCCTTCTCAATTTGAAACCATGCAGCAGTTTCCCCTGCTCTGTTCACACAACAGCCTCTGGTCCAGGTAGAGGTTTCTGCATGAGCACAATTAAGTGTTCTGGGATTCCATTTCTTCTCAAAGTCAGCCACAATTTGTTATGATACACACAATCAAATGCCTCTGCATAATCAATAAAGCATAAATACACATTATTCTGGTATTCCTCACTTTCAGCCAGGATCCATCTGACATCAGCAATGATATACTTGTGCCATGGCCTCTTTTAAATCCTGCTTGAACTTCTGACAGTTTCTTATCTATGTACTGTTCCAGCTGTTTTTGCATTATCTTCAGCAGTATTTTGCTTGCGTGTGATAATAATGATATTGTTCAACAGTTTGCACACTCAGTTGGATCACCTTTCTTGGGAATGGGAAGACATATGAATCTCTGTTGGCCAGATATCATGCTTAGAAATGTGGAAGGTAGGTGAAAGAGGAAGACCTTTGACAAGACAGACTGACAGTGAATACAGCAATAGGTACGTCAGAAATTATGAGGATGGCAGAGGATAGGACTGTTATCATAGGGTCACTATCAGTCATACTCAACAGCACTGAAAACAACAATAGTCTGTTAATAACCTAGACTAGGTACCCTAATTTTGCTTCTGAGGTTAATAAATTGGAAATTTATTTAATGCCATTTATATACACTAAAAGCAGATACTATATACTCCTAAATAACCAGAAGGATTTTTAAGATCACACAATAAAATACTAAAAAGAAAATATAAACAAAAAAAAAAAAACAATCAGACAAAAACTCAAAAGATAAAAGAATAAAGATCCAGAGTGAGTCAAAAGTCAAACAAATTATGCTTTTCAGAAGACATAAAACAAAGACACTCAAAAAGTTCAAAGTAAAAAAATTAATTCATGAGGAAGCTCTAGTGGCCTAGTGGCAAGAAGCTGCACTACAATTCCAGAGTTATGCCGTTCTAAGCTACCAGATGCTCTGCTGGAGAAGGAGGGTCAATCTCCTCCTGTACCAGTCAGATCCGATTTGACGGTACACACAAAAAGATGGTAA